ACAGGCCCTCGTACGGCCCGGCGTCCTCTCCTCACACAGAGGCTAATGTACTGGCACGTCTCCCCGGCGGGCTAGCGCTGGCGTTAGCTCACAGCTATGCTATATTCAGCCTGATTAATGAAGCGTCTGACGGAGGGAGCACGTGTGCACCGAATAAATGTCGTACGTTAAACAAATTCCCAGCATGGGGCACTGGCTCGTTTTGGCAGCCGAAGCGGAGAGGGCGCCGTGCGGCCCACCCTCCCTGCCCCGAGGCCTTGTGGGACCTCTTGCGGCACTCAGTGGTTATGATTGGGTAGTCTCGAATTAAAGCATCCCGTCAGGACGAGGAATCATGTCCGCCCGCTGGCTGGCTGGCTGGCTGGTTGTCGTGGAAACCACGTCCCGAAGGAGTCTGAGGCTCGTCTATGGGCAGGGAGAGAGGGAGAATGAGATGAGAGATAAAGGACAAAAAACTCGCTAGAGCTCATTTCTGACAGCGCTACACGAGCGTGAAAATTATGCATTAGCGATAAATTGAGGAACTTAGAAATTCGTTGGACATTTTTAAAGTGAGGGCACTTGGTTTTGAGTATTTATGTAATGCGTCTGAAATCATAATATGACACAGTTATGCATTGTAGCGTGCAACAGGATCTCAGGTTTACTGTTAGTGTTACTGTTTACTGTTGCGTTAGCGATTATTTAGCGGAAATAGACATTTGTTGGACATTTTAAAAGTAAGGACTTTTGTGATTTTTGTTTTTGCATTTTAAAATGAGTCTGCAATCCATAACATGACATAATATGACATAATGTTCATAACTGTACCACAACAGGATCTCAAAGTTTTGTTATTGTTGCATTAGCGATAAATTAGCAAAAGTAAAAATTTGTTTTAAAAGTGATGACAGTTGACTTTGTGTGTTTTTGTGGTGCAAAATGTGTGTGAAAATCATAATACAACACAATTATGAGTTGTAGCACAACAGGATTTCCATGTTTTGTTACTGTTAACAATAAATTAGCGAAATTACAAATTCGTTTTAAAAGCAAGTACTCTTGACTTTGTGTGTTTTTGTGTTCCAAAATCTGTCTGCAATTCATAATGACACAAGAAGTGTGCATTGTATCGGAACAGGAGTGCAAAACCTCGTCACTGTTGTGTTTGCGATAGATTCGAGAAGGTGGCGTTTCGATATTCATTTTAAAACACTGGACATTTGATTTTGTGTTTGTGCTTTCTAAAATGTGTTTGCAATTCATAATACAACACAAGTATGAATTGTAGCGCGGTAAGAGGTCAAGTTCCTGTTACTGATGTGTCTGCGATAAACTAGTGGCAATGGCAATTTGTTAAACATTTCAGAAGCGAGGGCACTTGATTTTGTGTTTTTGTGTGCTGAAAAGGGTCTGCAATTTATAATATGATACAAGTATGCATTATATTACAACAGGACCACAAAGTTTTGTTGCTGATGTATTCGCGATAAACTAGCGAAAAATGGCATTTCATTGAACGAAGCGACAATGCTTGTTTTTGTGTGTCCATGTTTTGTAATGTGTCTGCTATTCATAATATTGCACAGTTATGCATTGCATCACAACAGGAGCTCAAAGTCGTGTTACTCTTGTGTTTGCGATAAATTAGCGAAAGTGGCATTTCAGTTACAAAGCAAGGATGCTTAATTGTGTGTTTGTTTTGCGTTCAAAATGTGTCTGCAGTTCATAATACATCACAAGTATGCATTGTAGCGCAACAGGAGCTCAAAGTCCTAAATTAGCAAAACATAGCAATTCGTTAACCTTTTTATAAAGCGAGGATGCTTAATTTTTTTGTTGATTTTGCCTTCTGAAATGTTTTTGCAATTCATAATACAACACAAGAAGTATGCATTGAAGCGCACGCAACAGGATCTCAGAGTTTCTTTACTGTTGTTAGCGATAAACTAGCAAAAAATTTTCATTGAACATTTTAAAAGCGAGGAAGTTTGATTTAGTGTGTTTTTGTGTTACAATATGTGTCTGCAATTCATAATGCGACACAAATATGCATTGTTGCGCAACAAAATTTCTCAATCTCAAAATCTCATTACTGTGTGTGCGTTAAACTAGAAAAAAATGGCATTTCGTTGAACATTTCGAAACATTGGACGCTTGATTTTGTGTTGCATTCTAAAATGAGTTTGCATAATACAAAATAATTATGAATTGCATGGTAACTGCATCTCAAAGTTTCGTTATGGTGTTTGCAGTAAACTAGCCAAAGTGGAATTTCGTTGAGCATTTTAAAACATTCAGTGATTAATTTTGTATTTTAAAATAAGTCTGTAGTGTCATAATATGATGTTAGTATGCAATGTAGCACAACAGGAGTCCTGTTACTGTTGTGTTTGCGATAAACTAAGCGAAATTTTTCATTGAACATTTTAAAAGCAAGAACATTTGATTTGATGTTTTTTGTATTCCAAAAAGTGTCTGCAGCGCAACAGGAGCTCAAAGTCCTGTTAATGTCGTGTTTGCGATAAATTGGCATATAACATGGCAATTTTGTTGAACATTTAAAATAAACAACACTTGGTTTTTTGTTTTTGCATTCTATAATGCATCTGCAGCATAACAGGAGCTCAAAGTCATGTTAATGTTCATGATAAACTAGCGATTTTTCGGTGTGCTTCTTGTTTTTAATATTAATGCCTGCCCTCATTACACGTGATCACAACTGAAAAACGGCTGGAAATGGTGAAAGCAGCGTATCGATCGGCTTTTGTGTTGACTAGTAGACGGTCACTGTTGCATCTTCAAAAAGCTGCAGTCTTTGCTCTGAACTCAGGAGGGAGAGGTTCATTTGTCAGTCCTTTTCATTAGCTTTTCTCTTTCTTTCTCCTCTTTGTTCAAGGTTCTACCGAGGCAGCCGAAGTAAACGCCACTAAAAACAGCCGAAGAATGAAGCAGAAGGAATATTAAAAACAGCAGAGAGGTAAACACCTTCATGAGATCAAACACTATTTGACCCTATTTACTTTCTGTAATAATGTTTAAATTTATGGTCTAGGTTTTATGCTTATATATATATATATATATATATATATGTGTGTGTGTGTGTGTGTGTGTGTGTGAATATATATGTATATAATACGTATATAATACATATGTATAATATATATGTCAAATTTGTTTGATTTAATATTTAACTTCATTTTAATGAATTAGCAAACATAAAAATTTATTGTTTAATATTAATTGTAATTTTTACAAATAAAGAAAAAAAGAATAATTTAAACATGAAAAAAGATGCCATTATACAAATATTAAAAATACTGTCTTTATGTTGTTTCTACTTTAATTTAAGGATTGAATGCGAAATTATTGCAATAAAAAAATTTATTATAAAATTTTTAATGCTAGGTGGAATTAATCGTGATTAATCGCGATTAATTTCAGAAAATGTGCGATTAATTAGTAAAAAAATAAATATTTTATAGCATTTTTAGGCTGTCATCTATCTTTATTGACATCAGTACAGGCTTAGTGTGTGTATGCATGTGCTTTTATGTGATATAATGCACATTTATTCACTCTTTGAGGCCAATTTCTTTTTTTTTAACTTTTTTATTTGGATTGATTTGGTTCGGAAAGGCAGCTTTTGGCATATGTGACACACATTAGAGGTGAAGTGCTTAATTTCGAGTTGTTTCAGTGATCTGTTTTTAACAGCGGTTCTCGAGTGTGTCCTTGTTGTTTGCTCTCATTGACTCTGGAGTTTAGCCTTGAGTCTGCGGCGTATTACAGGCAAAACGGCCCGATTATTTGCGCTCGCCGCCGGTTTCTTTTCATCGAGTGGAGAGCAGAGCAGGTCGACGCGTGCAGACTCGTATCCGCGGGCTGTTTGTGATGCTGAGAGGCAGTGAAGCTCGTTTCTGCTTTATTACGCTGCACAGTCTCCCTCGCGCCGGGAAACAGCATTTATCTGTACGTGTGAAACTGTACGGATGCCACAGATCATTGAACACGAGAAACGCGGCCGTTTGGGTCTCGTTTCTGCAATACGTTGCACTCTTTCGGACGAAATTGCCGTTAAATAAAGCTATTAATCTTTACGCCGCTTTCCCATTAACTTTGTCGCTTCGGCCTCGTCCTGCAACTTTAAACAACACTGCAGTAAATTAGCTTTATTCAATTAGCAAAGCTCTGATTAGTAATGGCGGTATTTAAAGAAACATAAATAAAGCAAGCATCTGGAAGTTATGGATTTCAGCTAGTGGTTCAGCTATTATTATATAAATATAATACTATAATACATGTAATAGATTAAAATAGAATCTCAAATAACTAATCCTAACTAATAATAAAATAACGGTTGATATAATTTCATGGTGTTTGGGAATTAAAGCCGCATGTCTTCTCACGTCTTCAGCTAATGGCTTTCAGACAGAGCACCTGTCGTGTTCATGAAGAGGATCGTTTTGCATTCGTGTGATGTTTATAATCAATCTTTCTCGCCGTTATTGTCACGTACGCCTTTCTGTTTGTGCGTTTGCTTGTGTTCAAGCCCTTAATCATATCTAATCTATCATATAGCTTGCTTTCATGATAAAAATCAAATGATGTATGTGATGTTCTGTAATCTAGAGAAAATCCACGTTCTTCAGTGTGCCCGTTATCTGTGAGTGTGTTTGCAGTGAAGTTCTGATCATATCCGGACTGCAGCGCGTCGCGGCTCTGATCCGGCTCTGAATGCTGCAGATCTGCTGTGCCAGACCGAGTTAGAGTCGCTCGAGAGCACAGTGCATTGTGGGCAAATCCTCTTGTGTCCCGGCCGGGTCTGTGCAGGCGTGGGAGCCGCAGACACACGGGCCTGTTTGCTTTGACCCGGCATTGTGTAAACCGACAGGACTATAGTCCTAAACACAAGCTGGAATCAAGATTGGACAGAACGTTTGTTTGTCTGGGGCTCTGTTATAGTATGTTCTAGATTATTTGCTTAAAATGTCAAATTAACTAACATTATTAACATTAATCTATTATTGTGATTATTGCAATGAAAAACATTTGCAATTAAAAAATTGCTATGCCCTTTATATATATATATATATATGCACCTCAGTTTTCGCAATGATTTAAAAAAATTTTTTATATATAACAATAAAAATAATTGTTATTTTAATAGTTATTTTATTAGAAATATATTATTATTATTATTAAGTGTATCACTAACTTATAAATATCTGTATATTTAGTAAATATTGTGCGAGACAACACTTGATTTTTTTAATAATATTTTTTATTTTACGTTTACATTCATGTAAACAATTCAAATATTTTTTATTTTACGTTTACATACATGTGGGTATGCACATTCATGCATTTGTCAGACACTTTGATACAAAGCAACTTAAATTGCATTCATTTCATTTCCTTCTTTTTAACAAAATTTTTCTGCTTGTATTAAACATTACAAATCTATTTTGCGACAGTGGCTGTTTGGTTGAAAGTAATGTACACATATATATTAAACATTAGCTGTATCTCCTAGACTTGTGTATCTAAGAGAGAGAGAGTTACTAGCTGCCTCTCTATATATATGCTGAGTGTTTGTATGAGACAAATCTTGTGATATAGAGCGTGAGTGTGTGTGTGTGTGTCAGGCTGGAGCAGATATGTGCTGATGAGGTACTCGCGGTGGCAGGCGGTGTGTTTGCGCTGCAGTGCTGCGGTGTAGCGGCCCTCTGACCTGCTGGGTAAACAACCAGAGAGCCTCTGACTCCAAATAAGGCCGACACATCCACAGCACAGAGCGGCGGCAACCTGCCATCCTCCACACACACACACACACACACACACACATCTCCTGAGCTCCCCTTTCTTTCCGTTACTGTCTTTCCTGCAGCCCGCCTGCTCTCCTTGCAAGGTGTATGAAATGAAAATCCTGTCATCATTTATTCACCCTCACTAGGCCTGTCGCAATAATCAATATATCAACTTATCGCGCAATCCCTCACGTCACTCCAAACCCTATGAATTCTTTCTTCGGTAAAACACAAAATGAGATATTTGGCAGAATGTTCACGCTGCTTATTTCCAACAAATGTATATAGAGATCAGGGCCGTCATATTTCAGACAGGACCATAAAAATGCAACATAAGTGAGTTTGAAATGTAGTTCATATGAGTTATGCGCTACATTTCTGATGTCATATGAATTGTATTTTAGCAATTGAATTTCAATTTCAAATTCAATTTCAAATCTTGAAACAGGAACATTTTACACCAACAGTGACATCAATAATAGTTGATTACACCAAAGTCAGGGTAACAAATGTAAACTAAAACTATTGAACATTTTTGTTCGTTGAAATAAAATAAATTATTATTATTAGATGAAAAACTTAATAACTTATTTCAATTAATTGCCAAAAAAGCTATTCTATTTTTGATTTAGTTTAATAAATAAAAATAAAACTGAAATAAAATTAAATGCAATCTAAATTATAATATTTAAAACAAATAAAAACTCAAGAAATTTACAAAAGCACATACATTTACTAAAAATTTAACTAAAATTAAAGTATAAAAATAAAAGCTAATTTAAAACATGAATAAAAGCCATTTAAATAATACAAAATAACCATGGATTACACTAATTTGAATATATATGTAAGTGACATTTGAGAACTGATATATTCTAATAATAACTAATAGTGTTTTAATAATAGGTCATTCAATATTATAATAATAATTTATTTTGGTCTGTCCCTAAGCTTTTGTATAATGTTTGAAAGCTGGGAATATAGTGCAAGTGATGTATAGATTAATTGAATACTTCATTTTTCCTTTCTGAGGATAAATACAGTTTAGTGCAGTCACTCTATGGTTGTTTTTGTGTGGAAAATAGGGGGAAAAAATCTGCTCTAAATCTCCTTTTGTGTTCCCTGGAAGATAGAAACCCATCTGGCTTTGAAACGATGTGAGGGTGAGTGTATTTTTAGGTAAACTATTTCCAAACCCATTCTCCTCCTCTACCTGACATTCCTTTTCTTTCAGTCTCTTTGGCACCATCTGAAACATATTGCCTCGGTGCTTCTGCATAATATGCATGTTGTTTGGTTTTCGCTTTTAGTTCTGCTAAATGCTTTTGCCTTTTAGTCCTTTAAGAGCCTTTCTGCTGTTATCCTGCAGAGAAAGAGACAGCAGGCATCCCTGAGTGTCGTATTTCACATTGTAGACACACCCACATGTTCCACTGACCGTTGACTACAGAAAGCACAGTACATCTCTATCCTTTTTAGCATTTGAACCTGCTCTCCCTCTGGTCCTGTGAGGGAGGAATGACCTCACCTTTGCATCTTTTGAAAAACAGTCATATTCTCCTTCGTTCAAAAGCGACAAGACGGTTACGTTTAATATTTATGATAGCGAACACGAATGACCTCTCCTTTCACTGTGAATATATAGACCCCTTTGTGTGTGTGTGTGTGTGAGGACTGTCTGTAATGAATTCATAATCTCTGCAGTGGGTCTTTGTAGATTCCTATCAGGCAGCAGATAAGACAGCACAGTTGCACTCTAATAGCTGTCAGTCTGCGTTCCTTCCTGGCTATGGATCAGTTCACTTTCAGTAGACAAATACACACATATATACACACGCACACACAAGATGGGCTGTGTATTCAGAGGCATGTTCTCCGCACAGTGGAGCTAAAGATAAAAGCTGCTGCATTTTCTGTCGATGGAGAGACTGTATTTCTGTAGCGTGTTGAAAGGAGGTCCCCCAAGGCTCTGTACGAGGCCCCCTACAATTGTTGCGTTTTTCCCCCAAAACTTGACGAGCATCAGCCCCCATCGTTTTTCTCACTGTCAAACACTCCCAACGTTTTGAAAGCACCTCAGAAAGGCAAAGTTTTTTTGGTAAGCAGCTTCAAAGTTGCCTCAGAAAAACAACCATTAAATACAGTGCATACGTCTATGCCCTGAAGCTAC